CACAGAATGCCCCATACTACTCACTTTTGTTATGATTTTCAAGGCAAATTAGAGCGGGGTGAGAATGCGACACTTTGAGGATACATTCTATGAAGCATTGGAGCTTAATTGGAGTTGGAAACTGAAGATTGATGATGATGATGAATGATTAGAAGCGATTTTAATTGAAGAATTTCAATCAATATGTGAGAAAAAGATAAAACACGATTATGCGACCTCAAAAAATAAGATCATGTTGATGCTTCGAGTTTTTTTGGATGTGAAAATGCTTCTAAAGTTTTATAGAAAAAACACGATTGTTTTTCCCCATTTACATGATCGTGTGTCCCCTTTGAAGTTAGAAGATGGCCTAAAAATAACAACCTACTTCATTAAACTGGTTTTGGTGTGTGTTGAAGAAAACATGGTTGTTTTTTACAAGAACCTGATCGTGGAAATGGCCGATGGATTTTTCTACATATAAAAAGCACCTGATAACCTTTCAGTCTCCTTAACTTGGTTTCGTATGGCTCTGTGGCGAATTTCTAAAGATTATGAGTGAAGAACCAAGATCCAAAGAACACGATTCAGTCTGGTATTTTTATTTAGTAAAAGTTAATCATCCAGTACTTATTTTTATCATTTGTAATTAGGTTTTCTCCATGTCATGCTAAAAATCCTAGATTTCAGTTTCACATCCACTCAACTTTTCGTGCAAGTAATCATTAGGCTTGATTTTTTATTGTGAATTATGTATAGTTTGATCAATTTTACGTTTAAATGAATGTTTGATTTTGCTTTAGTTTTTGTTGGCTACTTGAATTGATATTAGATCATTCCAGTTTACTGATTGTTATGATCTGTAATTGTCCTAATTAATCGATAATAAGTACTACGCTTCCGAGCCTATGCGAAGTATTGAACTTTACTGGGAATTTTACATTGTTATTAATGTTGCTTTTCTAGATTAATTAAGAGCTTATTTGATTAATTTAGTAAAAAGTAAGGTTTAATTCAAAAAGCATGTTTTAATTAAATAATATGATAGAAGAAGACTATTTTAGAGCTTTTTAATGATTTTCAATACTAGTTTAGATAATGCACAATTCAAACAATCAAGTGGAGGGTTATTTGCATGAATAGGAGAATCACCGCAGAACTGAAATTGCTTTTAATCATTTGAATTTTCAAAGTTATTAGTTACTTTGTTATAATTTCTAGTTTAATATTTATTTTAATCATCAAAACACCCCTATTTAATTTACCGTCAGACTAGTGCATGCCTTACGCAAGAAGACATAGACGTTAGGATGTGTCCTTGTGGATTTGACCATGTTTTCTTGTACTACTTCTTAGTGCAATTGAGCATTATTTTTTATACATATTTATTATTTTTTAGACTCTTGCGACGTCTTAACAGTTTGTACGTGTGTGTGTATATATATATATATATATATATATATATATATATATATATATATATATATATCTTTTGCATCCTCGTCGTGGTTTATCACTCTTTCTCCCATTATGGAATGTTGGAAGTTGACTCAAGGCTTGAAAGATGACATGAAGATTGATCAACTGCAGTTGTTGAAGAGCATGGAGAGAAGACTATAGAGAACAGGGTATTCCTTTACCGAAGCCAAAGTGGCATCCACCTTAAATAAATAAGTGTAGATATTGATAGGAGGGAGTTCATACATCTTGTGAAATAAGTGCATACATGAGTGGATGAGTGCTTCAGTGAGTCTGCCCTATATATTGAGATACATGTGCTTTATGCATAAGAGTTAGTAGTGGGTGCCATGGTAACATGACTATGTGCTCTGTACGTCATGCTTGATGAATATTTGAGCCTTATGTGTTATTTTACCTTGTTTTGGAATGCAGTGTATTTGTTGTGCGTATGAGATATAAGTTGACAACTTTTTAATCATAATTATGTTGTTGTGTTGAATAACTTAAGGCATTCTTTCTTTTTATTTGTGTTTGCATAATTCTTTTTCCTTTATTTCTATTCCCTCTCCCATATTCATTTGAGTTTTTCTTTCTTGAGGACATGAGAAGGTTCAAGCTTGGGGAGATATTTTAAATGCATAAAATGCACCTTTTAAATACTTATTTCATGTTTATTTTAAACATTACATATCCTCTTAGTGTAATTTTACATGCATTTTATATTTTCGGGACAATATCCAGGATCCGTGTACTTCTCATGGTTTTTGTGGATGTTTCAGTAGCATTTGAAAGTTGGAACATGATTAGGATGCTTAAAGGAGACTCTCTGCAAACTTTTGGGATTTTTGGAGCAAGATTGAACAAATCAAGATTTTAGAAGATGGAGTGTTCTCTGAATTGAACATGGGGGTGGAATGGTTACACAGGCCATTCCACGTTCGTGTAATGAAGAGTTTAGCAACACAAGAGTTAATTCAGTGCCCGTGTTTTCTCAAGGCAAAATCAATCTGCAGGCGTGTTTTTCCGGAAACTCTCGAATTTGGGCAATGCATCATGGAATGAAAATTAATCATAACAACACACTTTGCTCATTCCATGATCTTGTTTTCACAAGGGCAATTATTCCAGGGGCATGGAATGAGATTTTTGCAGTTTTATAGTTTCCTATCTTCCGTTAAAAGATAGAATATTTGTCATTTTGAAAGAAACTTCAAACAGAGACAAAGGGGCGATTTTCAAAAACATTATCATTAATTTGCACTTTGGAAACATTTAATCTTTGAATTTATATGTTTGTTTTAACATTCGTACTTTTACACTTGTGTTCTAAGTTATTCATGTGTTACTAAATTTCCTTTCATTTCCGATTCCTGAATTCTGAAATACTTGTTTGGATTGCTGTGTTATATTCATCTATGTTTATCTGTTAGTCCTTGATTTGATCTTTGTAATATGTTTGCTTATACTCTTTTCACTTGATCAATTAAATTATGATTCAAATCATTCTTGTTATTCAAATTATGTAATTCGTAAATCTTTTACGATTTGGAATTAGTGACAAAATTTTAATTGGTTTCAAATGAATCAAAATAAGTGTAGTCAAAGAGTAAATGCTTTTACATTCCTGAATATAGGAGGAGTATTGAACATTATTGGTAATAATTGCATAAAGCTTAAAGTCTTTTTAGTAATTTAGTTTAAGAACTTGTTTAGATTTGATTAATTAGATGAAGTTCTACTTAAAGATCATATTTTAAGTAAAATATGTTTTGCAATTTTAAGATATTAGACATATTAATACTTAAATTACCAATCTAGATTAAACATGAATTGATATCACATCTTTTTCTTAAACCATGACTAAAAATTACTTATAATCACATGATTTTCTTTTATCATTAATATTATTTACTTTTTGATACATATAAACAATTAAACTATGATCATAAATTATTAATAATCATATGTTTTTTGATTTAGCAAGATGATTGTCACTTTTAGATGAACATAAAAACTTAAAACGTCACAATAAAATACTTATAGTTACTACTTTTGTTTCATTTACTAAATGATTAATAAACACCGTCCTTTGAACACATAAAATAATTTATGTACCCATATGTATTTGCTTTTAACCATATCATATTCATGTGACCAATTTAACTCTATGATTTAGACAAATAAATAATTGTTCCAAGAGATCATATATGTATCTATCATCTTATATAAAAACAATCACACATATATTTTCAAAATCAAACAAATATCATGGCAGTTGGTCACATTTGTTCACACTTTTCGACCTTGGCTAGTAAATGTCATATTTTTTATCTTAAATCGTGGCTAAAAGTTTTGAAATACTATACAATGCTCATATAAATCAATAAAAAATGTAGCTTAAACTAGGTTAAAACTGTATTAGCAACGTTTAGCCAATGAAATAATCGACGTGTGACACAGTTGTTTCAACCAAAATGTAAATATGTCATTTTTGTACTAGTATTTTAGTTTGCTTTGGGATAAATTAAGTTTGCAAGTGATGGTATATATCGAAGTGTGTCGCTTTTAGATTTTGGCATATTTATGAACGTTGTTGTGAAAGTCGTCGTCTTATCATTTAACTTAGGAATGAAGTTGTAGCTAGAATACCTCTTGATGAAACTTAATCCTATCATGATATTTTGTACTCCTTATATTTAGATCTGTATGGCTTCTTCATCTTATAATCCCTTCATTTTGTCGGTAGTTTCTTGCTCATTTAAGAAAGTCGTTATAACATATAACTTATGTTATAATATAATGTAATAAAAGCATGATGTTTCCTCAATTGGCATTGCTAAGGAACTTGCAAAATATAACATGGAATTGCCAAGATATCACTTTAAATGCCAACCAGAAAGGACATGAATGAAAACCGCTTAAACTATATAAAAAGGTAAAAAGAACCACTTATATTATTTATGAAAAGTTTATAGGTATAAGTTATATTTAGCTCATTTATATATATTTTTTTATTGAATGTTGAATTATAACATTTTTAATTCATAAATGAGTAGGGACAACATCCAATGCAAATTTTAAAAATATTGTGGAAAAAGTAGATATTTTGAAATGAATATAGAACCCGAATAAATTTTAAATAAACGTTGAATGTCTTGAAAGAGAGGAAGGATACTAATCCCTCGTCTCTATCTCATTCTCTATCTCTCTCTAGGTCAGGAAACCCAAATGTAGCTACTCTGCTACGTACCACGTGAAGTGCTACCATGTTTCTTCTTTTCTCTCTCATCACTCACATATGGTCCAAGCGATAAAACAATGCATCTGTACAAAAGCATCGAGTGCTTCTTCACAACCTTTCTGTCCAACTTTTTCTTCTTCACCTTCATCACGACCACCACCATCCCCATCTTTTCCACCACCCTTGTGCGATTACAGCATCACTATCACTTAACATGTCTACTATTCTTGAAGTTCTTCATCCAAAAAATAACTGATTCACATCTAGTCATTGCTAAAAATAGCATACACTAGTAGCCTCCCCCACTCCCGGCAGGGATATGGAGCATGTGGGTTCTTCTAGAAAACATGAGTATCTTATTATTGATCCAAATAAGGATGATGGTCATGAGATTCCTAATTCAAGTCATCAAGAAGAGCCTCCTTTGTTTTTGGGATTCCCTTCACCTTTTTTTGATGATATCGATACTATTCCAATACTCGCAAACAACCATACCCATCAACACCAACGCAGCTCCCCAAACAAATGCTTCAACATCACTGAACCTACGCCTTCTGAATCGAAACGTCTAAAGAAAAGAAATGTTGGTAAGAAAGACAGACACAGCAAGATACATACAGCGCAAGGTCTTAGAGACAGGAGAATGAGGTTGTCACTTCATATTGCCCGAAAGTTCTTTGATCTCCAAGACTTGTTAGGGTTTGATAAAGCCAGTAAGACCATTGAATGGCTTTTTTGCAAGTCCAATAAAGCTATCAAAGAAGTCGCTGACAACTTTGATTCAAAACATACCAACCAAAGCATGACTGAAGTTATCGACAGAATCGATTGGCGTGAGTGTGAAATGGGATTAAGCAACGAGATCAAAGTTGCTGCCAACAAACCGAAGAACTATCAGGAGGTGGAGATCAAGAACAAGGAAAGGAAACGAACTCAAAATAATACTTCTTCTAAGGATACGAGGGACCAAGCGAGAGCAAGAGCAAGGCAGAGAACAAGAGAGAGACTGATGATCAAGGAACTTGAGAAATCAAAGTTTTTGTTTGAACGAAACCCTAATGACGAAATTCACAAATTAGGGTTAGGGTACATGGTAAGCTCTGATAATCAAAATATAGATAAACTAGGGTACACGTCTATTGCATCTGAACCCGTCCAACAACAGTCATTGAGTCCCTCCGATTTTTCCAGTCCGCATCACTTACTTCGAGAACTGCAACTGGCCAATATTAATGATGATATATTAAAAAGTTATTCAGGGAGCATTGTGAGCGAACCTGCTTATTGTACCACATTGATGAACCACAACCCTCCTGCAGGTTGGTTAAATTCCAGCTTCGGATTCATAGGAGTTCCTGGAGAATACGATGCTGACAACATTATACCTGAGTCCTACAACCAAGCAATTGTGCCAATAACTGATTCTTTGACAGGTGATCATATTAATTATGAACAAAACCCTAGCTCATTCTTTATGTCAACCACCAACAATTTCCACCATTTCCAAACTCAAAACCAAGGCAAGTAAGCAAATTCCCCTGAAGTAGCAAGATCACAATGCTCACCTGACGATCCTTCATCTGGGTTTCTTAGTTTTGTCTTTGTTTTAACTCATTTGGGATTCTTTAGTCTAAATCTATCAACCAATATTTGTCAAAACAGATCAACCATGTATCAGTATAGTTAATTTATTGTGTTTGTGTGTGGAATATAATACAAACTGGATTGTATTTAAGTCGTCTTCTATTCCCATTTCGTTTTTTTCCATATATATTTTAAACATCATCAACTATAGACCTGGTTCAATTTTATAAATAGTGTTTTAGTACTCTATATTGAAATGTATGGTAACTATTTCCGGTCATAATTTTCTTTGTTGTTTGTCACTTCTAAGACATTAGTATTTTAATGATTTATAAGTGGAAAAAAAAATGGTACAACAAATGTTAAAAAGTGTATATATCAGATACACATGCATATGTACCAGCAGAAATAGACCATTGCACATGATATGTTGAGTGATGTGATCATCATCAAGCACAAAACATCATTAATTATGTCCAAAAAGGGTGAATTGACCTCAACCAATATATAAGAGTAATATCATCTAAAGAAAATTATATATACCGTACTTTTTTTAACAGCAAGACGCTAGGAATTAAGTACAAAACGTTCAAGCAAACAAGTTTTGGGATTAATACACCAATCCAAACCAATCAATAAACCAGTGGAAAGCTACCCTTTTAATGTCTACTAGCCAGGTCCTTACTGGGAAAAAACATTTATATATACCTGACTAAAGTCAAACTTATCATACTGGGAAAAAAACCATCAATTAGATAACGGTTGGTTCGTGACATATGACTTCTACCAATATACTTTTGCTCAATTTACTGGTAATTAATTTTCTTCTCCATCATGTATTAATTAGTTTTCTCAACTTGCATGGTGCAGTGATCATATAACTATATAAGTATCCATTAATGGAAAATTTGATTAATCTGACAATTATGACAACAAAATTTTGTTTCAAAGGGTGTTATGGTGGTCAACATAAAACATTTGCTGAAAATCATCAATTTGAACATTAAGCTAGCCTTTGGGTATTTAATCAGCCTACATGTCTCTTAAAAATGTTATCTTGGTACCTGATAGTATCTCATACAGTCATACCAATTTTTCTTCTGGCTCTCATTGTCCTCAACAGATTGTCATGCATCATGCATGTGTAATGGCAAGAACTCCTGATTCTGCTAACTCCCTTAAAAAATAAATTTGCAACAAAAGGCTTAGCTGACAATAGTAGAATTTGAAAGAATCATGTATATCATATTGCCAGAAAATGAAGCAAAGGGTATATTGAGCTTGTCTGATTAACATTTCAAATTTATTAAGCAATCATATAGTTTCACTGCTGTCTTTATTTTGAACGGATTAATTAGAGTCATGTGTCATGTGGTGTTCCTAATGCATATTATATATATATATATATATATATATATATATATATATATATATATATATATATATATATATATATATATATATATATGTGTGTGTTCAAATGTTTCTCACATCTATTGTGTGCTAGAATGCTCCAATAAGAATTTAATAAAAATTATATGTATATTAACTGATATCCATACTTATAATTTTTTTTATGGAAACTAATTAAATTCGTCATTAATGCTAACAATAATATTCTTTCAGAATGAATTCGTATCTAGAAGAATGAAAATGTATTCTTGCAGAATGAGAGTGTATTGTAATAGAATACACTCTCGTTCTTCATATTCAATGCAACTTTATTGTATTTCAAGTGAATGAGTTTTGAAACAAAAAACGAACTCATAATTAAAACTTAGATGCGAATTCATTCTGAAAAAATGTTATTGTTGACATTAATGACGAATTTAATTAGTTTCCATAAAAAGAAAATTATAACTATGGATATCATTTAATATACATACAATTATGGAAATCATTTAATATCTATATTTATTTAATTTTACAAAATTCCTATTGGTGCGTTCTAGCACACAATAAATGTAAGAAACACATTAAGCTAGCCATATATATATATATATATATATATATATATATATATATATATATATATATATAATTTACTAACTTGGTTTGCTTTTGTACCTAGGTTTTCGTTTTAAGCATAATAATCTTTTTTATGCAAACACAATATATAGATGACAAATGCATATGTAGTTATCTACTAACCTTTGGCGAGTGTCAACTCCATTGAAGATCTTATTATTCGTTCGGAGAATCCCAACTTCTCTCCATTCCAGCTGGTCAAGTTTTAGTCAGTTATAATAGCTTTTCTATGGGTTATTTGGTCTTATAGAAATGACTTGTGTTTTAATGGCAAGGCGGAAAGCATTCATCACTTAGTTGTTGATGTTTTGTATTTGATAATGCATATGTATTCTATATGTTTATATGTTTATGTATTTAGTTGTTAGCCCATAGGTTGGATCGACTCAAGGCCCTGTATTGTGATTTCCTTGTATATGTATTGTATGTATTTGGTTGTTTAATGAGAGATCTCTTCATGAGAATTTTACCCAATTACATGGTATCAAGCCTCTTCTTTCTCTAAACCTTACGACATACCCTACCTTTTTCTTATCCTTCACGGTGATGCAACCTTATCTCTCGTTCTTTTCCCTCTATTTCTCATGGCCACTCATAAAACGTATGGTATCACCAACATCCGCACCACAGTTCCACTGGTCCTAGATTTGGAACGACATAACTATGATTCCCGTCGGGAATTATTCTTTATCCATTGTGTAGGTTATGGTGTCGATGCTCAGTTAACCTCTTCTGTCAAGACTCCAACGACCCTCATTGATGTTGAATGGTCATGAATTGACCAGATGGTTAAATCTTGGATCTATGGTACGTTGTCCTAAACACTTCTCAACACCGTTCTCAAGCAAAACACTTCTGCTCATGTACTTTGGAACAACCTGGAACAATTATGCCGATCTAACAAGGAATCCAAGCCATTCTGGCTTGATAATGAAATTCATGATATATCAATGGGTGATTAATCCGTTGTTGCTTATTGTAAACGTATCAAAACCCTTGCAGATTCATTGGTGAACCATGAAGCTTATGCCTAGGAGAAAGCTCTTATGATCTACACGATTAATGGATTGTCTTTTAAGTACGACTACATTATTAATCTGAGCCGACACATCTTAACAACACCATCTTTTTTAGATGTTCGTTCCGTACTTGAGGTTGAAGAACAACGCATCAACTAGCACTGACCTATTTAGCCTCATCACTCTGACAATGCCTCCTCTCCGACCCTTCTCTAAATTGTTGCATCCCGTGGTGGTTCCGACAGTAACATAGGCAGGTACTCACATCGCGGTAATGGTTGTGACAATATTGGTGGTTATTTACAACAAAACAACTGATTTCCTCAACAGTAGCGTCAACAACAGCATGCTCACAATACAACCCCATGGACTCCACTCCTGGGTTTTGCGTGGGGTCTTATTCCCACCGGGTCCAACCCTCCCACGAATACGCTTCTTCCAACTTCTGCTCCTACCCAACACAATCAACCGATCCAACAGCCTTAGCGCAACTCCAATCCACAGACCCATGTCGTCACACAACCCACATCATCTGATCAAGCCAGGCAACTCCCTCAGTTATTCAATGTTATGAGTCTTGATGACCTGGACAATGGTAGGTGATATATGGATATAGAGGCCACATCTCACATCCATGAAAACGAAGGTATATTACACTCTTCACGTTCCTCTCATAATATTCGTTTGTTATGGTTGGTAATGGATCATCTTATTAATGTAACTAAGACTGGTTCCTCTCCGCTCCTTACACCGTTGATCCCTATCGTATCCTTCATTTGCATAATATCTTTGTCACCCCTAATATAATAAAAAATTTAGTATCCATGTTTAAATTTACTAGAGATAACGATCGTTCAATTGAATTTGATGCCTTTGATTTTTATGTGAAGGGCTTCAAGACTAAACAGGTTCTTCTCCAATGTGATAGCTCGGGTGATCTCTACCTAATTACAGCTCTATCTCATCAAGTGTTTTTTGTCCTCGATTCGTCCGTTTAGCATCAATGTCTTAATCACCCCGATGACAACGTTTTTTAACAATTAGTTTCTGGTCATTTTATCAGTTGAAATAAAAAAGTCCAAACATCTTTGTCTTGCTTGTCAAGCAGGAAAGCATGTTCGACTTCCATTTACTCTTTCAGATTTTAAGGTCTCTTGTCCGTTTGATATTATACATTCTTATGTTTGGATATATCCTTTGTTGAGTCATTGGTTTGAAATATTATGTTATTTTTCTTGATCAATATTCTCATTATGTTTTGGTGTATCCTTTAAAACAAAAACATGAAGTGTTTGATAAATTTGTTCACTTTTGTGCCTATGTTTGTACCCACTTTAATTGTGAAATTAAAATTTTCCAATGTGATAATGGGGGGGGGGGGTATAATGATGCTAAATTTCATAATCTTTGTCACACTCACGTTATTTACATGCATTTCTCATGTCTGTATATATTTCTCAAAAAAATGGCAAATCCAAGTGTATGTTACGAACTATCAACAACACCGTTCACACTCTTATTTTGCATTCTCGTCTTCTTCCCACCTTTTGGGCAGAAGCCCTTCATATGTTGTGTCACGTGTTGAATATCCTCCCCTCAACCACCATCCAAAATCAGACACCTCACTTTAAGCTTTTCGACAAGCACCCAACATATTCGCAACTTAAAGTTTTTGGATGCCTTTGTTATCCCCACCTCAATCTAACACACAAACTCGCTCCTCACACCTCTCCTTGTATCTTTATTGGATACCCAATCCATCATCAGGGTTATCGGTGCTATGATCTTTAAACTAAAAAAATCATCATCTTTCGCCACGTTGTGTTTTACGAGACCATTTTCCCTTTTTGATCACTCACTCCTAATAATCCTCTTTCTTATGAATTTATTGATGAAC